TGTTGACTCCATTCTTGAGGCTGTATAGCCATTCTCACCCTCCGGTTGTCTAACTCGAAAGCAAGTGCCAAAGGAAAGTGCCGTAACTAGATGGCTTTAGCAGATATCTTGGCTTGAAACACTGCATACCAAAGTATCAGGATTGCTAACCCAGCTCTGCTCCTGTTCTTCCGTACATTTCTGAAGGAACTCTCCTTTCGATGGAAGCATATTGAAATGAAAAGAAATGTCCCACCTGGTTTTGATCATGCTAGCATCATTAGGATCTGCGCCCTTCCTGAGCCAGGACTATCATCTAGAAGACTGGGAAGGGTGAAATGCAGCAGATGGCTGGGAGGGGCAAGAAGGGCAATGCTCTGGGAATGCATCAATATCAAAAGTGCCCTGGGGATCTCAAGGCCAGTAAGTACATGCAAGCCAGATCAGCCTTCACTTCTCACTCCTTCCCAAGCCTATGGTGTTTCTCTTGGGGTGGAGCCACTATTGGCATTTTGGGGGTGTTGTTCCTTATTGTATGGGACTCTCTCCTGCATGGGAAAAGGTGTGACATTCTTGACCCCATTCACTAAATATAAGTGGAACTCTACTTACTGACACAAAAGCCTTCACAAACTGTCCCTAGGCTGGGCATTCCTGCCCTCTTGAGAGCCTTGCAAGAAGACTCAGTTATATCAACAGGTAGCATGAGGCGGGACTTGAACCTGGCTGTGAAGTCGCACCACTCAGCAGGAACTGAGGAGTTACCCAAGACCCAGTGATCTCGCCAGGTGTGAGGGCTTCAGGAAAGGAGCCGGGATCAGCTAGCGTCCCTGGCTGTCAAAGAAAGTGGTCTCCAAAGGCCACAATGGCAGATCGTTAGAGGGATGGCTTTGCCGTTGGTCATACAGCACATGTCAAAAGGAAATCACAGACTGAAATGGATTCGAGGCACTGCGCAAAAGAACTGACGTAATAGCTGACCCAACCCATATTGTCACCATTCTTCTGAAAGGGGGGACGGTTGTTCTCTGAAGCTGAGTTGTAGCCTGCTTGACATTTGCATGAAAAGTAGAGGAGACAGGCTGAGTTTTTAAAGATCTTTTGTGGACAGTGAATTTGAAAGATCAAATGAAACTTAAATAAGGATGTTCTAACCTGAATATCAAAATGTAAACTAAAACTCACTGCCATCGAGCCAAGTCTGACTCATCGTGAACCCGCAGGACAGCATAGCCTGGCCCCTGTGGGCTTCCGAGACTATTAATCTTTCCGAGGGTAGAAAGCCTCGTCTTTCTCCCTGGAATATCAAAGTATACTGGCCAGCTGTTTCCTAAGTCCATGCACGATATGCCACCTAGAAGCATCTTGGAAAAATGACTTCCCTCCTCAGCTGATCCTCCTCTCTGCCAACCTCTCCCATTGACCTTTTTTGGTTTTTGCGGCTTGTTTTCGCTACCTCCACCAAGGAGCTGGTGTGGGAGCGGGTCATTAGGGGAAACTCAGGAGACCACGGCAGAAGCTCCCAACATAGTCGGGTCAAGGGAAGGGTTCTTTGTTTTCTTCTGATAGTTAAGCGATCTGTGACATTGTTTTATTTGGGAGACTGTTGTCGTGGAAACACTGTCCCTGCTACTGAATTCTGTCAGCATGGTTCCGGTTGGTGAGGTAAGCAGCGTAGCCTCTCTGAGCCCTCCGATTCCTCTTTCCTCAGCTTCCAGGTTCAGCCCCAGTCTGCCGAAGGCAGCGCCAGCTAGCAAGGAGAGCAGTAGTTCTAGCCAGGGAAGAGTTCCGTTTCTACTTCTTGCCATTGGGCCTTTGCTCATTGACTCTCTTCCTTTCTGTTTCCAACAGTCATTGTATAACAAGCCGCAAATCGCTCTTCCGCAGAGGGACCTTTCACCGATGCTGCTAGGGGCTGAATCTTCCCTTTTGCAGCACTTGTGCTTTGAATCCTTCCCGCCATCCATAATCCATAACGAATCGATGTCATCATGTGTCTGTGCATTTACGTATGACCTGGGACCATTTCTCTATTACTTGATCTCTGGAGGTATTTCTCCTCTTCCTAGTTAGGTTCCAAGTTACCCCAGTATGACATATTTTATGTCAACTTGAATTTGTATGAAAGTGAAGGCGTGGAGTCCAACATCTTAATCAAGTCCCTTTTCTAAGGAAGAGCCTGGGAGCTTCCTTTCTCTCTGCCACTTTGCCTTCCTGCCTCCAGTCGTGGCGGCCCCAAGTGAGCTGCCCCACCCCGAGAGCTGTTGGCGCCCTGCCACATTTCCACTCATCTTGGATCCACGTGACCCGGTGCCCACTGGCTCTTGATCTCCCTGCTTCCTGCTTCCCCTTCCAGTGTCATCAGGCTGCAGCTATGTGACTCTGACGAGGGCCCTGGCTAGCAGTCACACACACCTATGTACGGACTTGAGTTGTGCTAGGCTGTGGCCCCTCTTGATGTAAAATTGCTTCCTGATATAAAGTTCTCTCTTGTGCATGGGTGAATGTCAGTGGTGTGTTTCTCTAGACAACCCAGCTTAACACATTCAGGCTAGGGACATTGCTTCTGCATCCTTTTATATGACTTGCAGCAACTCATAATGAATTGCACTTGTTATCAGCTTCTTACAAATGTGTTGATTCTCTGTAGGCCTGACCACACAATGTGTGCTCCTCGTCTTTCTCTCTCAGAGCACCTGGTGGGTTCAAACTGCTGACCTTGCAGTTAGCAGCCCAGCACTTAACCCACTCTGCCACCAAGGCTCCCTGAGGTAAATCTTTAAAGTTTGAACAAAAAATATCTCCTGAAGTTTTCTTAAAACCAAATGATAGCTTATATTAACTAGTAAAAAATATCTGCCTCGGGCATTATGCCCATTAGGGACTATCTAGATAGGATCATGGCTTAAAATCAGGAAAGATGTGCATCAGCGTTGTATACCCTCACCATTATTACTCAGTCTGTATGCTGAGCAAATCATTAAAGATGCTGAATGATATGAAGACGAACGCAGCATCAGGATCGAAGGAGGGCTTATTTACAACCTGCAGTCTGCAGGTGACACAGCCTTGCTTGCCGACAATGAGGAGGACTTGAAGCACTAGCTGGTGAAGTCCAAGGATTGCAGCCTTCAGTGTGGATTACAACTGGATCAATGGGTCGCATCGGGATCAATGGAGAGAAGATTGAAGTTGTCAAGGATGTCGTCGTGCTTGCATCCACAGTTCATGCCCATGGGAGCAGCAGTCACGAGGTCAAACAACACATCGCTTTTGGTCAATCAGCTGCACAAGACCTCTTTAAAGTAAGAACAAGGATGTCACCTGAGGACAAGGGTCTGCCTAGCTCAAGTCAGGTATTTGGGATTTTCAGTCACCTTCTGCGCATGTGAGCAGTGAATAAGGAGGCCTGGAGAAGCATCAATGTATTTGGATTATGGTGTTGGCAAAGAATGTTGGACCATAGACTTCTAGAAGAATACGCAAGTCGGTCATGGAAGAAGTCCCGCCAGAATGATCCTCTGAGGCAAGGATTGCAAGACTTTGTCCCATACTTAGGACCTGTTGTCAGGAGAGATCAGTCCCCAGAAGAGAACCTCATGAGCGGTGCTTGATAAGATGGATTGACCCAACAACAGGCTCCGAGATAAGAACACATGTGAGGATGGCATCCCCTTCCTTCTGTTGCACATGGGGTCACTGCGAGTCAGAACCGACTCTGAGGCCTCTAAAAACAACGTATGAGATCACATTGACCACAGGACTTCCAGCGATTCAAAGGCAGCAAGTTTTGGTTAATGAAGGAAGAACAATTTAGAAAAGGAAGCTGAGAATACTTTCACAACTCAAAGGTCACTGAGTTGTACATGTAGAACATGTTGAATTGGTGGTGTCTGCTTTGCTGTATCTATTCTCACCAACAACAAAATAAGGAAAATATATTTAAGGGCAGGAGATGCCATGCTGAGTGAAATTGAGTCAGCTGTGGAAGGATCGATTGTATACGCTCCCTTATATGGAGTGTTGTTCTTGTCGGGTGCTGTCAAGTCAGCTCCTACTCAGAGCGACCCTGTGCACAGCAGACGGAAACACTGCCTGGCCCTGCGCCGTCCCCACAATCATTCTCATGTTTGAGCCCACTCTTGCAGCCACTGTGTCAATCCGTCTCATTGAGTGCCTTCCTTGTTTCCATTGGCCTCCACCTTACCAGGCATGATGTCCTTCTCCAGGGACTGGTCTCTCCAGATACCATGTCCAAAGGACATGAGATGGTGTCACATCAGTCTTCGAAATGTATTTCTTCCAGGACAGATCTGCTTGTTCTTTTTGGCAGTCTGTGGTACTGTCAGTGTACTACTTCGCCAACACCATAATCCAAACACATTGGTTTTTCTTTGGCCTTCCTTATTCAATGTCCAACTTTCACATGTATACGAGGCGATTATAAACACCATGACCTGGGTCAAGTATACCTTCATCCTCAAAGTAACATCCTTGCTTTTCAACACTTGAAAGAGGTCTTCTTAGATAAGCAAAGCAAATAAATGAATGACTGGATGCTAAAGATTGGTTGTCAGAGTGGGAGGGAGGTGGAAAGAGGTAGGTTTTGCTGATGGGATATTAGGCTTGTCTTAACGGTGGGGGAGGACCTGAAAAAAGAGGGCAGGAATAGTTGTACAACTTGAAGAGTGCAATCAGTGCCGCTCAACTGTACACAGGGAAATCATTGAGCTTAGACAGATTTTCTTGTGTATATTTCATTATTACGAAAAAAAAATTTTAAAGAGGAAGAAGCGCTGATACGTGGAAATAAGATGTTCCTTTTTGTGTGAACAAGCAAGTGGCAGGATCCCAGGCTGCTTGTGCAGTGTGTCGATGTGGCTGGTCACCACCTAACGGGCGAGGCCCGTTGCAGGTTACCCCGGAGCAGTGTGTTAACATGCAAAGAAGCGCCCCCTGCCCTTGGCGCTTGTGTGTTTCAGATCGTGTGATCCATTATTGGATTGTGTTTTGTCTTGCAGGCACCAGTAACCCAAACACGGAACAAGATGATTCCCAGGCCTCTGAGAACTTCTGGCTTGACCCTTCTTTGAAAAGTCAACCAGAAACCCAGCAGGAAGATGATGAGCTTCGGAAATCCCTGGATAGGTTCTATGAAATGTTTGGCCACCCACAGCAGGCCTCTGGAAACCCACTCTCTGCATCGGTCTTCCAGTGCCTGTCTCAGAAAATCGCTGAACTGAAGGACCAGGAGAGGCAGAAGTACGCCCTCCGCAGTTTGCAAATGGCCCGGGTCATCTTCAGCCGGGATGGCTGCTCTGCCTTGCAAAGGCATTCCAGGGACATCTCCTTCTACCCGCTGGAGGAAGGAAGTGTTTCTCTGGAAGGGGAAAAGCCGATCCCAGGACTTTCCAAAGATATCATTCAGTTCCTCTTGCAGCAGAATGTGATGAAAGACCCCTAACTTGGGGAGATCTGGGGGCCATGTTAGAAGGATTGCTCTTGGTCAACCACCTGATCCCCTGGGCATCCTATCCCTGCTCCATGTGCCTGTCTGCCAGCGTCTGGGTGCCTTACAGTTCAGGAAGGGCCTGTGACCTGGCACTGGAACCAGGGCAGCCCATATGCAGAGCCAGTGGTTTCTGGGAGCTTGGTGTTCCCATGAGCACCCTCCCTCTTACCCACCCTGCTTTCTTTGGCCTGAGCCCCGTAACTGACGGCTTTGGAAGCCCCAAAGCCCAGCTCCTTAAGAAGGACACATTCTGGGGACTAATATGTGCTCCAACTTCCCCCTCAGGAGCACGTTGAAAGTGGGCTTCACCCGGAATCCCAGACCCTTTCTCTACTCCTCTCCTTCCCTGCCCTCTCCTCCCATTCACTTACTGGTGTCACCTGGGAGGGCTTCCTTCCGAAATCTCATACACCTCAAGCCTTGACTACTTCTGCCTTAAGGGAACAGGCTTCCACTGGATGCGTTTTTAGAAATGTGTAAAGCTGGGTGATGAATCCAGTAGGAAGAGCTACGCCAAGTGACACGGAGGCCGCGTGACGGAGACCGTTTGTCCTCAAATAAACAGACCTATGCCCAGTTCCCAAAACTGTGTCACATCTAAATCATACCCTGGCCTCTTCTCAAAAGCTGGAACTCTCTATTGGATAATACTAACCAGGGAAGCAGGGAACATTTGGGGAGCTAAAATCCACACTTAAAAAAAACGTCTCTGTGAAAAGCGAGAAGAAAACAAATGTGGACACCCCCCCCCCCCGCCCCCCCCAAATATGTGTGAGCATCCTTATGCTGCGCTCCGCTGTCGTGATGCAGGCTTCTGGAGCCGGGGATGAAAAGAAAAAGTCATTTGTTCAGGGGGTGTCCTCCTTCCTCTATTTAGGGTTGCCCCTGCTGGCCTCTGCCAGCGCCCTCTGTCCCTCTCTTAATGGTTAGCCCCTCAGCCTGCCTATCCTAGCTTCTGAGCCCCTGGGCTCCATCTGCAAACGCTGCCTCCGCCCCTGCCCTGCCTCCAGGCCTCAGCCCTGCACCTCCGCAGAGCTGCCTGAAATAGCAGTTCAGGTTTGCGCTGACAGATGCTCTGCGCTGCAGGTCGTGTCCTGAGCCCCAGTGAGCCTCAGCTGGTAGAATTACGTCACCTGGCACCAAGAGCTCTAGAACTGTAATTGGAAGCTTCAGACTAATCCCTACCTCGACATTTCTTCAGAGAGGGTTATGGGTTATATCATTTGGGGGGGGGGGGCGAGGAGCAGAAAAGAAGCTGGCAATAATACTGGGGGGGGGGGGGAGTGCAAAAGAAGCTGGCAATACTATGCAATTAAATTTGGAAAAAGCTTGAGGTGGAATTTAATTGGCAAAAGGGTCCAAGAGCTTTCCAGAAGGTTGCTTATACAAAATGGACCAACCTCCAGGTATACGTTAAAAATGGAGCGCTCCCTCTCAGGGCCACCCTTGGACAGAGAGAGCAGACTTTTTTAAAAAGGTCAATCATGGCATATACAGTTCTGGGAAGATTGGAAGTAAGAGAAAATTGGAGGTATGAGAAAGCCTTCCGGATTGAATGGAGGGGCACCCCTGGAAGGAGTTTTAAAGAACAGAACATAGGCTATGACTAGGTCTTTGAGAGACAGTTGAGAAAACAGGCTCCCAGGTTTTCCTCTGACCAGCAGCTGTGTCCATCTTTCTCCAGGGCTGTCTCGTAGACAATTGATGCCCAAAGAGTTGTGAACCCTGTGGGGACTTATCTTGAAAATCTACGGGTTAAATGTCAACATCACGTTTCTTTCTCTTAAATGTGTGAAGCAAATTAATGGATGCCCTAGAAGAACGCTGTCATTTTGGGTACCATTCAGTCACTGATATCTGAGATTGGTTTCCATGACTACCAACAGAAAGAAGCTGGATTATTTTAGACTGACACTCAAGGACAAATGTTCCACGATATGTGCGCCCCCAACCCTGGGGAGATGGTAGCAGCCGGACTCTGGTAACCTTTGTTCCTGCTGGTGCTGAGGGGACTCAGCAAGAGGTAGCTCTGAGAACAGAAAATCCAGGCGTCTAAAAGCCAGAATCACCTGAGGGTGAAAAAAAGGTGTGGTGCGTGTTTACTTGCATCTGCGTAAGTGCTTGCGACACATCAGTACACCTTATTTGATTCCCTGTAATCTTACCCCTTAATTGGATCTTCACAAGGTTAGGACAGCATTTTCCATTTATCTCTGCGAACCTTTAATAAAGGCTAGGAGATAGAGATCTTGAGCTCTGGCCTATGGCCTTATTGTCTAATTCGGTCCCACAGACGCGTTCACCAGCATCTTCTCATCCTAATGAACACTGTGACGGGCTTCAGATATTATCTGCATCCCTGTCCAGCTCCGGTGAGGGGTTTGTGAGCATAGATCGATGCAGGAACATCAGAACTCAAGGGAACGAACGGCTACCAGTGTTTTAAGCAGTGTAACCATTGCTCTTTTCATTAGTCTTTGCATGGCCTAAGTAAGTAGACAGGTGATATATAGATCACTTCGTCAGTCATAAACATGAAACAATACAGCAATACTTGTCCAACTTTATTTTTTTTTAAATCTCATCATCACTCAGAAAAAGTGCACACATTTTAAGTGGACATCTTGATGTTCACAAGCTAGACCCAGCTACAATAAACAAAGCCGGAACACTATCCATCCATCCAGGCACCCTTCCTTGTTTGACCTCAAACTCTCCCAAGCAGTTCCTTCCTACCTAACTTCAACCTCTGGTCTGTCCCTTGCGCCCAATTTTGAGCCTTAGTCAATCCAAATGAAATCACCATTTGTGTTGGTGAAAATAGCCAAGCATCAGCAATTTCATAGAGCTCCATATATGCCATTCATTTGAGACTCTCAGAACTTCAGGAATGACTTTCAGTGGTGTCAATGTCTGGCACTCTCAGAACTTCATCCATCACCTATACGCAAATGTTCATTTCTTTACTAAGCTCCTGCCCTGGAGCTCTAATTTCTCAGGAGACATCCTGCTTTCATTGTCCCCTTAAAGATTAGATACCTGTCTATAGATTGCATATTATATATAATACATAGAAATATATATTTATTTTAAAACCCTTAACAGGCCAACACTCCCATTTGATGTCTCTGGATCCATCTTAATGATCCGGGTGGCACAAAAGTTTGCACTCAGTTACTAACTAAAAAGTCAGTGGTCGGTCCAGAGCCACCCAGGGGTGCTACAGGGAAAGACCCGTGATCTTTCCTAAAAATCACCCCATGAAGAGAGCCTTCAGGAGCTCAATCAAACTGTAATACATGGGTTCTATGAGTTGGGATTGATTCTTCAGCAAGAGGTGGTTGGCTTTTAACCCATCATGGCATTGGCTGAAAATGTGGCCTCAGACCTGATAAAATGTGGCCTCCTCGAGACTGGCTTATAAACATCCCATAATAGCATGTCCTGGTTGGAGTAGTGGCTCAGCACAGAGTCCCAGGAGCCCCCCACCCACCCACCCCCGACCCCCAGAGCCCTTGGCTTGTTACCATTATTGTGCCTCAGCTTCCTTATCTGCAAAGTGGTTTCAAATACTAATTCAGGAAGCTCAATGACTTCAGCCTTCCATAGAGTTGTGATTAGCAGCAAACACATTGTACTTTTAAATTATTTATCCATCTTAAAAACAAAACTCTGTTCTGGAGCAGAGGGAAGGGGAAAACACCAAATTTAGTAAATATATTTACTAAATATGTTTATAAATAGATTTACTAAATCTTAAGTAGGACAAAGACAAAAATAATTCAGGCGAGCATGGGAGACCATCAGCGCGAGGCCATAATAGTGTCGGAAGGGTTCACTGCGACGTTGTTCATTATCTAGACCGTGGCAAACAAAGGAAACTTATGAGATCATGGCTGTAAATCACAGGAGGCACGACTACAGAAGCGGAAAGGGGCCGTGATTCAGACATGAACACAATTGTAGAACCGAAGTTTACGGGGTTGGTTTTGGGGCCCTCTGACCACCTTGCTTGCGGAATGACTCACAGCCCTGCAGCTCTGGTAGCCCACTGTCCACTAACAGGGTCCCCAGGCAAGTGCGCAACGGTGAGACTGGCTCCTCCCTGAGCTAGGTGGGGAGTGTAGTCATTCACTTTCAAAGGCAGTCGGCCTGAGGGTAAAGGCTTCTGTTCCACTTTGAGCTCATGGTCAAAGCTGACTTTATGTCAAGACTCAAAATGGATTTAGGAACCCACTCTAACCGGTAGCCTTCCATGAACCCAAGTGTTCAACATTTAAGCTTTAATACATTTCTTTCCGTTGACCTCATGTTCTTCAAGGTTTTATCTCCCCAAGACTGTCTAGTCTCCATGGTACAGGTTCTTCTTTTTCCAGACCCTCCCCAAGATCTTACCTTCTTCTTAAATCGTTGCCTGGATCCCATCCCACTCCCTCAAAGAACTCCCAACTTCCTTAGCACCAAAAGGAAATGTAGCCCAGGGGCATGGTCTTCTCGCGATCTCTAGGACTTTATGCCCAACGTATGTGAGCCCCTGGAGCATCCTCCCTCCCTTCCCTACTTCCCACAATTCTCCTGTTCGCACTCAGTCCTGCACAGCAGAACCGTCCTTAAACTATTCACAGTGTACATCTTCCTTCCACCAATAGACTGGAAATCCCTGAAAGCCAGAGAGCTAATTGTACTAAGGGCTGGCTCAGGCCTAAGGCGCCCTGGTGGCACAGTTGCTAAAGTGCTCAACAGCCCCCTGAAAGGTCAATGGTTAAAACCCAGGACCCCAGCCCCACTCTGTGAGAGAACAATGTGGGAGTCTACTTCCATAAAAGCTTACCAACTGAAAAAAATTCATTGCCTTTACATCAATTCTGCTTCAACAATCCTACAGGGCAGGGCAGAACTGCCCTCTTTGGGTTTCCAAGACTGTGAATCTTTATAGAAATAAAAAGCTTCATCTTCCTCCCACAGAGTGCCAGATGGGTTTGACCAGCGGAGCTCGCAGACAGGAGCAATGCCACTGGGCTCCTTGGAAGCCCCAGTGTGATGGTTCTGCCCTGTCCCACTGGGCAGCTGTGAGTCAATGTCAACTCAGTGGCCATGATTTTATGCGTGGCTTGGACCGTTGCGAGATAGTACTCATCGTGAAAAGGATTTGTTCTGCACCCAATACCTCTTCAGATTGCTGGCAAAGCCAGCTGGACACATTCTCTTTCCTACAACTGAAATGCTACGATTTCAAAACCTCCAGCACGGGGCTGTGGGCTGCATCTGTACCTTCTGAGAGACGTGATCGAAGAAGAAAGTTCCAATTGCAGGCATCAGAGGCAATAATGCTGCCATGAATCAGTGGAATGTCCAGACTGGCTCGTATAACTCTTCCCGATCTCATTTCCCCAACTGCACTCTGAGGACATGAGTAAGGCCCCATGTCCCTCATTGACTCCAGCACTCAGTAACAATTCACCAGGGTGGATTCAGGAAATGGACCTTCAGATGGATTGAGCAGCCTGGAGTTATTGCATGGAGCATTAAATTGCCGCTCAGAACAATTCATTTCCTATATTTAGCCTATCAACCAGTGTTTATTAAGCAGCATTTACTCTGCAGTCCCCTGGGCTGGAGAGACACAGATGGGATATCTCACAGAATGCTTGGCCTTGAGGGGTTTATTATATAATCAGAGTTTATTATATAACCAAAGCTCACCAAGCACATGATCAAGCAATTATATTCTATTTGTTTTT